GATCTGTCTGTATATCTAACACCACCTATGCATTCGGACATAAGGTGAGTAACATTTTCACACCTTTCATGGTTACAATTTTCCGGACAGGTATATAGAACGCAAAACGGGTCGCTCGACTGAGGTGGACACGCTCTATAGGTTGAAGGACCGGTCGCCTGTTCTTTAGCAAGCGCAGGTAGGTCAGCACCTTTAGGCAAGCGACGAAGCCACTCATTTGCTCAATGGTGTTAGCACGTAAGCAGTGAAAATTCGGGTTAAAAGCATCTGCTTCCGAACTGAAGCTACCATGGATCAGGACTGCCATCTCATCTCTAGTACCTTTGTAGACAAGCATTGCTGGGACCAACACCAGCATGAACCATATGTGATTTCTGTGGAATCTTCAGACTCATCGAGTGTTTGTTATGCAATCAGCATTGCGTTCATTGATCCACTGAGTGACCCTCGTCTTCTCCATGCATTCATCTGGACACCGGTAGCGCATCGAGCCAGACTAAGCAGGGCGGCGTCTACTCGTCCGATACCGGCACCTCGCTACTGACCATAATGCTCTGCTGCTCTTAGTTACTGGGTGAGATGGGGTGCACGGTTTTCGTATTCTTGTTGTATTCAAAGACTGTTTCCAATCACTTGACCTACTGTAGTCTAACCACTGCCCTTCGCAACTTTTATTTTACTTTTCTTCAGTTACGCGTAGGTAACAGAGTGAGCTCGCTCCGAGACAACCATGCCCCCCATCCACACGCTTCCTGATTTTGTTCCTTCGTGGTTTTCATTGGATACTGAGTCTGGGTGGAGCTATGGGCAGTGTAGCGCACGCCATCCGTGATCCCTGTGTAGATGCAGGTGTCCTACGGTTGTTCGCGGCCGCATTGACACAGCTCTGGAACCGGATACCACTAAATGTATGGGTGTGTACTGATGTTACTACTGCTTTAAGGGGATACCGTTGTCACCATGGCGACATTTTTTCCTCCAATCGATGTTATTCATCAGGCTCTGCAGGGAAGTAGCCGGACGTGAGATCTGAGTTTCTCAGTCTGATTAGCCTATTGCGAGATCGCACCTACATATCCTTCTTCGTGCTTGGTGGTTTATTATCTGTTTCCAAGATACTCATCAGATCGCGAAACGGTACTGGCGCCTAGTTCCGACTCGGACACCGAATTAATGAGATGCAACCGTTTTTCGAACCTCCATTACGTGTGTAACAACAGGCAGATGATAGGTTGTGTGCACCCCTTCTTCACTTCACAGAATATTTATGTACTAGGCTCACACTCGCCACCAGTAATGCTGCTCTGTGGTGAGGCAAACAGAATGTCCAGTTCCAGGCGGCACATTCTTACGTCACAATCTGCGGTAGCGCATGCCACCTACATCTTATCATCCAAAGGAAACATAGACCAATTCCTTTGTCATCGATCGCTGAATATCCGCAGCACACGCTAACCATCTGTTGCTTTTGTGGATGGGAATATTTCACTAAAAGTTGCAGATGTATCCTTTCTGTTTTATCGTGCAGTGCTGTGACTAAACAAAATTTTGATCGATTTGCACCTCTCCACAATATTGATACCTTGCTCTGCGCCGATGCCGAGAGTCAGATCCGTCAGGATACGCTAACCAACACTATCATTTTGCCGTTGTTTGAACGTCAGTATGCTTGATCGCTTCAGTCGCATATATTATGTTCCATACTTCGACACATCTCTATGACTGCGTTATGTAGCCGCGGACCAAACGTTTCTGACCACCGTGGGGACACTGTTCAAATCCATCCTAATTGATCCATACTGGACTTCAACCGTCATTCAGGAAATAGATACTGCACCATTATAAATAAGTAAATATATTATTTCTCGACTATGCGAAAGACTATTCCCACATAAGGAAAGAGCAAATTGTACAGTATTTTCCCCTAAATCCCCTCTACATGCTGGATGGGAATATATGTTATATTATGTTCATGATAGTTTCGCACATCCATGTGGTTCAGGGTGAAGTGCAGAAGACTGTACCGGAGTTAAATCCTACGTTAGCTTATGTCCCATCCATCTGAACCAACACAAGCTGACCAGAAGGCAGAAATGAAACTTTAGTGGCCGAGTCAGTCTTTCAATCTCCCGCTGATGCGCAATCCAACTTCATCAATCGATTGAAACTTGCTCAGAAGTCCCGGTTGATAGTGGACTCAGGTAGAAAACAAAATAATGATAGTATCACCTTAGGCAAGAAACGGCTATAAAATGGTTACCAACACAAATAAATAAAGCATACATGTCTAGCGCTTACAAACTTTTAACGCTCGAGCAAATGACTATTGAGTGTCGCCCGCCAGAAAACACTGCACTCCCCCACTGGGATCGAACTTTTTTGATCACAACCGGTAGAGATGCAAGGCACTTGAATCCTGTACCTTTGGGATATCAATCGAATCATATATTCCTAAGCCACCGAGTCGCTGTGGGCAAGGCTTGTCACAACTGTTAGTGACTGATTGGAGTGGTCATTTGGTGTGCGCCTCGTGTGAATGAATTGCGACGCGCATCTGCTGCACCAGTTACGGTCCCAGTGATCGAATTGAACAAGATTCGCTCTTGTGCGAATCGCAGCCCACATTGAGATGGCGCGTCGCAATCCATTCACACAACGAGTACTTCAAATGACCCCTCCAATCTGTCCTAACATTCGATTCACAAATTTCCATTGAAACGAAAAAGTGTGGTACCTTCCACCGCTTCTGTGGATCGAAGTATTCGGTGCGAGCATACTCACCGATAGTGAATTAAAATCTGGGACGAAAAGTAGGCCAAGCATTTATATGTCACGTTCTGTTGAACCGAACTTAGAGCGTTTTGAACAGATTTACAGCGGTGATTCAGGTTTCAAGTTTTCATCCGTCTCCCTTGCTCTTAATATTGCCTATCTTGTGAACAGTGACGTAGTGTCATAAGTGACCTGCGTCATGCGGTATTTGAGCCGTAGAGTAAGTTCATCTTGTTTAATGGTAACAATTCGCCTCTTGCTCCGGATTTGGTTTTTCCGTTCTGAAGAATTCAAACAAAGTCATTATTCCCGGTGGAACACAATGAACGTTGATTTACTTAAAACAAGAGCTCTTACTTTACAATGGGTGTCAGACTTTGTTTAAAATCAACTGTACTTACATCTCCGATCATACAAAATCTGGGTATGTGTTTGAGCAGAAACGGTAGACTTGGATTCAACCATATCGCGACAGTGTCGGTCGCACTTGACCATTCTGTCATTTCGCTCTTGCACGCATAGACAACTCCTAAGTAGGTTACCTGACTCATACTTTTTGGTTATTTTGCGAAAGGTGAATTTTTCGATACCCTTTGTCCTGACTAGATCGCACACCACACTTTCACCAAATTTTGTCACTTGCGGGTGCGCACACCTCTCGTGTCCCTTCCTCTGACGTATTTCATCATGGCTTGACTTTGAAAGGGCATTCCAAAAGTGTGCAATCATCGCCATGAAATGATCCTGCAGGTGATATTTTTTACTTTGAAATTGACCGCAGTTTGTCTATGGGAGGTCCTCGTGAGTCGGGCCACTGGATATGCCGTAAGTCAATGCTTCACTCATAATTGACGAACTAATCTGAACTGGATCATCTAATAACCTGAATATTGAACCAAATGTGGCACTAATGCGAGGAACTGCGTCGTACTTGCTATACTATTCGTCTAATAAACTAATAATAGCAATTATTATTAGAAATTCTTGACTTCACACGAAGCCCACGCAAAGTAGGTGCGGTGTGCTTGGTTTCTTACCTACGTCCTGTTTAGAGTGGAAGTCGCTGTACGATAAATGGCTGGTGTTGTTCACTATTATTATTATTAGTAGTAGTATTGTATTAGTTTTGTCCGTCTTCGAACTTTTTGTGATGAGTTCACCGTGCTAGAATTCGGTCCCGCGGACGCAATGCGTTCGGACAGACACCTTCGCTACTGCATCACCGAATTCCGGTGGCAACGCTTGGTATGACAATTAGGACCGCGTGTTTCAGTCACATACACAACGCGTACCTCCATAATCGCAGGCAACCTGGTGCATAAGCTTATAATTCGGTGGGATATCATGCACGCTGACGAGTATTGGTCCATTTATGTGAGTCGCTGTACTTTGTTTTAACTCCCGGTCACTGACACTTTTTCACTACATCTCGCCATGGCCGAGTTTGCTATAGTGTTGTCACTTTACTACTCTGGGCGTAACGAACGCTCACATTGTTGCATTGTTTGAATGCAACAGGCGTTGCCCGTTGCGGCTCGGTGTCTTAGGATTAGAGGCCTCGGGCAACATTCTAAGTTCGTTTCACTGTCCCGTTATCTCTGCTTAGCGAGGTCAGACGAGTGCGGAACCAGTCGTGGAACGCACTGTTACGAGCGGGCAACACCACACCTTTTCATTCGGTGTATACTGGCATGTATCACAAGCGGACAGAAAAGCGTCGGTGTCGATTAGTCCCGGCTTGCGAATCGGTTTGTCTCCATTGTTAAGGGCAGAAAACTCTTACTCGGCCCTGCTAAGTTGTAATAAAGATGACTGATGTTCAAGTACCAGACGTTCTATTTGTTTCTTTTATTGGTTACTCCAACCTGTGGTTATCCGTTATTGGATGGCTCAACTTCAAACTACACCGCAAAGGCGAATCACGCCTTTCTCTTCTGTCAACAACTACTATCGGAACGATTGGTGAGAGTAAGTACACTTTCAGTTTTTCAGCCTTTCACGGCAGTAGTCAGCTGGGACAGCGAACGCATTTGGGAACGATGCAAGTGTAGTTCCCACAGAGCACAAACCCCTTCTTGCCCGACGTTTGCTATGTCCATGCAGCTTCTGATCTCGCTCCAACAAAATATGGACACGTAGTTTGAATTGCATTCTTTGTTATCTTGTAAGCGATGTTCCTTAGGCCTACTCCAATGATACTAATGCCCCTGTACTGCTTTGATTTTTAGCGCCGCAGAATAGTAAGTGCGTTATTTGTAAATCCAAACTCCTCGTTATTGGTTTCGTTTGTTCGGTTTAGACATTTGCCGTGAATGTGCTTCTATGATGTCGTCCCCGCCTCCATCTCCCTCCCACAAATAATCTGTTTTTGGTCGTCATTATTTTATTGTCATTATCGCTCATTGTTTCCACCGACTCTGTCACTTGCTGGTTCCTTGTGTCACAATGTTGCCTCATCTTTCACAGCACAATCCGTTAATATTATTTTTCACATAGGACCCTCGAGAAGCTGAAGAGAGACGCTATCTGATTAGGCAAAATAAAAAATTACTCAATCAGGTAAGTCGATACCCATGCGGGTAACGAAGCGAAACTAACTCACTTCCTCCAGTTGTATGAATCAGCCAAGAAAATTGAAAGACTCGAGTTGACCAAAGTGGAGATGAGGGAACAACTGGAGCTTTTGGATTTCCAGATATTGGAGGTGGAAAATCAAAAGGCAATGGTGAGCCACCTCCATCTTTCACTCACTTTCCTTGCGAATAGATGGAAGAGGAGCTAAAGAAATTGCCATCCTGCAATCATATGTATACACAAACCGAGGTGAGTGCCTGGGGAATGTTTTGTATGCATTTATTCACTTCACCGCTATCGCCCCCCGTGCATGGGGCCTGTTTACACTGACTGATGTTTAGCGATCACCCCAGCTTGTAATATGCCTCCGGTCCTGGGTTCCAAGGTCTTCTACGTGGTGCGTATTAGACCAATGGGGGTTGAAACGTAAAGGAGATACTTCGTAGGCGGCTGGAATACCACCTAGTAAGTGTCGGAGCTGCATGAATGGTGTACTTATGTCACATCTCGGGGCTAGCTGAGGGGTACTACCACAGCTGCCCACAGAGGACTGAGCGCGAGGCAACTACAGATGGATGACGTCAAAACACGCATGAGATGGTGGCTCTAACAATACTGAAGACGAAATGGGAAGGTAAAGAGAAGAGGAAACGACAAGCACTATACAGGCTACACCCGAAGACAACTTACCTGTTGACCTACTAGTGACACACTGGCGCGCTACACAGCTACTGATGGCACCGCTGCGTTTTGATCTCATTGTGTGCAGCTTGTAGGAATTCCGGTGTGTCGCGTAGCATCCGTTTCGGGAGGCGATCTGGACTTTATGGCCGAAAGTTCTCATGTGCATTCTCCTTCTGACTACATACCGATTGCCTATTTCCATAACCACCAGCAGCTTATGTCCAACTGTCAATGCAGCTATCGGAACCATTCCTAACGGTAGATATTGATACGTCTTACTCACGGTAAGTACGTCCGAAAGTGTATGTTCTATAGGGCACTCAACCCCAAGGTAGGAAACACGTGCGAACGGAACACCATCTAATCAACAACTAACTGCACATTCTCGATGGCCTTTACTGATGGTACGCGGAGAGTGGTGTGCGCGTGTGGGGGGGTGTGGGTGCATGTATGTGTGGTGTCAGCATGAGTGGATTCAGAGTTGACCTCGGGTGAACATGCGACAGGTATGTGCCTAACCGAAACCATTCAGTATTGCCTTAAGAGTCTACGCATAGAGTTTCCGTATATTGTATACCTGTGGTTAACTGGGGATTGCTGCCGCTATTTTAGATCATCCGTCTTCTATGTCAACACGTTACGCTTCCGTTAAACTAGCTAAATATTACCATTCGGGTCTCACGATGTCCGGACTCCTTCACATTTAACCAAACCTATGGACCAATATACCCAACGCCTAATCTAGTTCCCGCTTCTGAACTGTTCGCTTGCGTTCACTTTCGGAACTAGACTGTTTTACATTGACTTGTGCCGAATTGACCACAATAAGCACAAATTATCACTAGGGAATGCATCACCCAGCACCTGGCCTACTGTGTTCGAATAATCGCTGCCTCTCGTTCTGATTGCATTTGTTTTCACTTTCTAGCCCGGGCGAGTTAATGTACGGACCACATATCACTTGGCCTTGCCAGCACAACACTGAAGTTGCTTGTGTCATGCTCGATCTTGCCCGGCTTCCGCTGATTGCATTTTTGGTAATTAGCGCTCACGAAATAGCGTTAGGCTCCGAGGTTCATTACTACTCAAGCACGGTTACTAGCGGCTGAAAGAACTACAATTGCCGCGCTGATCAGCACGTGGCCCATCGCTGGCAATCAACCACACCATTATGATTAACGTACTTCCTATGGTCTTTTTGTAACTATTCCTCACCCCTGTCACACTTCACCATCGCCAGTTTGAGCCCCAACCTACCCAATCTCACGTAACATGGATCGACTTCCGCGTCCTTTCATCTCTTTCCCATCCGGTCCTTATTTCGTGCGCACTGCGGTAGTGACTGACATACGAATTAATTCATCCAATTTCTGGTGTCACAATTTCAGCACAGATAGATTTTTCATTTGCTACCATCTTCGATTTCTTATGAATCAAGTAACCCGAAATGTAACCAATTCGCTCAGCACTCCGTTCACAATTAACCGACCCGTTTCCATTTATCATGACCAACTGTGTCAGTTACCTCAATATGCGTGGTTTTCAATTGGAAACGAACCTTCCGACATTATCCGAATAGCTACACCCGTATATTTGCATTTAGTGGATGGATTTCACTTTCGTTTATACAGCACGTATAGCACAATTAGCTCCCTAGAAATCCCACTGAACCAGACCATCACGATCCTTTTGCTTCATCTCTGTCATCTTGCCTTCTTGGATTCGTTGCGGATTGCAGCACAGACCCTGTCATCCCATGGTGCAATTTTACGCTCTCCCAGTGTACTACAACACTCCAAAAAGCACCCTAGGTAAATGCAAAGTATTTGTGGCTGTGTAATGAGCTGATTTGTCGGATGGATCATCCACGCCTCTTGGTCAAGCTCAAAATGTTTGGTTTCACCTGTTGACACTTATTAGAACAGCATCAGCTAGTCCTGGTAACAATGCCGCAGTATAACATAGCTTCATCGATTTCCGCCTTGTTGGAAGTTGCAACAGACTTGGTTTACACAACACACTACATAAATACTATGCGATTAATCCATTAAAATGGTATCATGAGCCTCAGGGAGGACTTGTAACTCACTATCAGTTCGAATTACAATATAAATGCTGAGGTTCCCGGGGTTGTTGTCGCGTCTGTAGCATGCTGCCCGGCCCACCGGTTTTCGTATGTAATTTCTCCACTCTATAACCCGGAAGTTATCTGAGGAGTAAGGCTTCATATTCCAGCTACCACTTCCCCACTTTGCTCGGTTTGTGCTCTGTAGGAATAGACCACGCACTTCGCCAATTGGTAGCTGTACTTGATTTTAAACTTGTGAAATACGATGGCAATCGCTTTGATGATGATCTTAACGTGAGATACGGTGGCGCTCCAACTACCACTTCCGTTAGTGAATCAGTTGGAGACCGACTTCCGACAGCTGGTGTCATAACCAGAAGCGTATCCGAAAGCGTGAGTGGGGTAGGTTGAACCGCTTTCTTGTCGACCGTTGGCAACTTTGTTCCTCATTACAAATTCAGATTTCCAGTGCAGAAATGCGCTCTGAGCCGGAGCAGTTCCGGGTGTCTAACTGCCTTGTAAGCTGTTATGTGGAACAGCTGATACTTTTCTCTCGTAATTCATACCTACTTTTCCCTACAGGAGGATCCCGCCGCACCCTCCCAGCTTGTCGCGCGTTTGCAAGAGCGCTTGAACACAATGGAGGTGGATTTGCATGGCAGGAAAGCGGAAGCTGCAGCAGCACTGGCCAAGCAGCAACATTTGGAGCATTTGATTCGCGATTTACGGCGTGACAACATCGAGCTGCGTGATCAGTTGGCGAAACTAGATGATACAGAAAATTCGCTCGCGGAAAGTGACAAACCGTTGGCTTCCGGTGTCCGTGTTAATCAGGTAAGTTTTCTGAATCGGAAATCTGTTCGTAGTTGTCGTTCATTTGCTCCAGACCTATTGTATTCTCTCCGATACCGTTGTTTGTTTGTGCGCTGCTTTCTAGCTTCGGGTTAATGGGAGTTTGCATCGGTGGTCCTGTGGCCGCACATGCTCAAGTCGTTTAGCCCACTTTTCATTACACATTCACGCAGCTAGTTAACCAATTGACGGGATTTCCGGTCACCCACGTAACGGTTATTCGGGTCACTGTTCGAGTAAATCACTGTCCACGAAGTGGACTGGCTCGCCTGATGTTTTAAGGCGGTTCTTAATGCAGGTTAGTGATCACGAAATGACGATCAGCTGCACCAGCGTCTGTGTCCACTCGCCTTCGGGCACACTGGTCTTTGCCACCGAATGAAACGTTTGTCAGATAACGCGTCACGTGAAGTGTATTGCATGCATTTCTCGCTATAGCTGCTAATGTATAGAGTATTTTCTCTCATTTCCTTTTTCTCCTAATGGTACACCATTTCAGCCCATTGTATCAACCATGTTGAAGGCAGCAGAAAAAGTGTTTGCTTCGGTTGCTTGTCCTCTGCTTTTTAGGAGAGAGTACATTGTCTTCTATTGACCGTACAGGACGATTCGTAACAATTTGTGTACTACCCATTCCCTCTTACGGCTTCTGTGCCCACGCGTTGCATAGTTTGACCTCTTTTCTGTATTCAATGGACGAATCAACTCTACAATGTGTCACCAAAACCATCTTTATAAGGTTTCTACTTTCTATCGGTCATTTACCGAGTCATACTTTGCTGGTTATGAAACCTGCCGTGTAACCAGCTTGGGCTGCGTAACTTCACAACCCACGATTCCATAGCTCCTTTTCGCTCGAATTCTGCAGTCACGTCTGATGCGCAGCACCTCACAGTTCACACCCATCTCCCTCAGGGCCAGCAGCCAAATATCCCTTTGTGCATGTTTTAGCTTACTAAGGACAGTCGTCTTCGTGATAAGAAATAGAAAGCGAAACAGCTGTTTATTGTGCTCAGCAGGCCAAATGCCTAAAAATCACGTAGGATGGTCAAGCGGAGTATGGTGAAATTAAAAACAAACGCACCAGCAAAAGAAATCGCCATGGTGTTCACATTAACACGTGGCGATATGCGATATAGGCACAAACGTGCACACAAGTGAGCGCGAATACATGCAGTGTGATTTAGTCTTAAGTAACTGTGGTGTTATTGTTGTTAAATCAGTGAGCGCCATATCCCACATGAACTTAACGGCACCTTAAACTCCTTAGTAACTTGTAACCTCTTTGTCGGAGGTTCGATTCCTCACTGTTGCCTAAATTTGGACATCCTGGGGCTAAACCAGCCCGCGTACAACCTGCTACGTTTACGCAACGATCAGACATCGGTACGGAGTACTGGTGCACTACTGACGCCTCATGTTTGGCCCCGGTGCACTACTCTACTGCGGACTTACTTCATACACGTCAGCGCAATCACAAGGTCTAAACTTGTATCCACAGTGGTTCATCGCATATGCAGGTGAAAGGCAGAACGGATGCGTCAGTGTCACGCTTTCTTGGGAATCAGCCATGTATCCTCTTCGTCGTCCATTGCAGATGCAAACATTTGTCCAACTGGCACTGCACTCATCTCAGAAGGGGCAGCTCTTTCATTGGCTCACCGACAAGCCATGTCTTGTTTTATTCATCTTTGCTTACACTTAACGCCACAGTCATTTTCATCATTCCATCGTTTCCTCAGGTGGACTTTCTTGACTACTTGGTCAATGGAGCTCTGTCAGTTGGCTCACGAGCAGTACACGCATAAGCTGGAGACAAACGACCCTTCACAGTATGCTTGTTGCACAGTCACTCGCGCTTTCACGCTAAATCTACCAAGTGGGTTAATTTACTTCCGCTCTGCAGTTACGGTGGCGTGGGCGCAATGTGTATGTGCTTTACGGTGGTTGAGGACAGTTCGATAAAGCTACGGCCTAGCATTTCTCCGTGTGCAACTTCATTCAACCGGGCTGGTCCGGAAACCTTAATAAAACACCATATCACTTAATCCACATTGACAATCCGGGTGCGAGACAGCTCCCGCTTATCTTCTCCGCAGTCGCTCTGGTAATTCAGTGAAGGAACACTTCGTCAGGGTTACCGAGTCCGGTTTAATTTTACCACTTTATTTCGCAGTCCACCCCACACGTCAACGTAACAAAGGGGCCTTGGCATATGTGGTGGGCTTGTCCCATACTGTGGTTAACAGCAGTCTGTATTCAGCTGGTCACCTTGAACCTATCAATTCCCTTTGCCCCACTTTAGGAATGCAATTGAGTCAGAGGGTCTGGTTATATATTCCGGTTTTAACATCATGTATAGTAACTTATTCCTGGTTCATATCCAGTCCGTCACCCGTTAACTAATTCGGGGGCTCACATTTGCAAATTGTCAATCGGCGATTTCTTACAACCAGGTACTATAGTTGGTAGCAATGTCACATAAATTACGTACTCCTGGAAAGTGCTTAACCATACATACAGAGCTCCTTTCTTAACACCAAAAACGACATTCTTGATATTTTACTTTGCAGAGGCGCGGGTATGCCTCTGCCATTTTAACACGTAATCTACCCCCAATGAAACTGTGTGGTGGACTTCCAGCTATCAACTTCTCTAGCTGAAACATGCTTATCTGTGATGTTAGTGGAACTACTGTGAACTACTGCGACTAGTTCTCGAGCGGACACACAAGCCACTATATCCTCCAAATCAGTGTAAAATTGTCGATCTCGATGTTCTTCCGCTGACCAACTGTCATGGTGCAAGTGCAAAAGCGACGTTACTTTGGTCCGGATATTCTGTTTTTGCTTTTTCTGCTTTTTGCGGACAAATCGGACTTTGGCCGAAACGCCGCACAATGGCTGTGACGTCTGATGGCAAACGCACACTTCTCAGAACTCTTGAACTCAGACGGTATCAGAATGCGTTTATACTCTAACGACAATGTCACTTCCGTTTCACACTTTGTGGTCCCTAGTGAAATTCTGTCGGTCACCTACGCCATACTCTCGCTGTAGTTGTGTTGGCGGCAGCAGTTTTCGCGTTGAAATTCACCCTACCTACGTACAAATCAACTTCCGGGATGTGGTTAGTTTCCCCAATGTTGTTCATTTTCATTTTGGGGCATGACGCACTCAGTCGGAAGGGGCACTACTTTATCCTTTATCACAATGAATTGATTTTTCTTTCAGCTGTACGTGGTGGAGCAATTCTCTCATTGTGTCCGGTAGACAGGACTTACTTGTTACGTCGTTTTCGAGAAGGCTGTACAGTTTATACTTAGAATTAACACCTACTGTGTAAAATGATGCCGATAATCCCTCACCCAGATCTCAAAGCGAAGTTCGCGTTTTACGAACCCACTCTCGATTCAGCCCCTCAATCACCTTAACGAACATGCTTAATCTCCAAAACCATCCGTTTGGGTTTTTGACTACTCCTGACCCACCGACAAATGTTTAACCCTACCGGTCATTTATGAGCTCGGACGATGCATCAGCGTGTGCTTGTTGCGTCACGCGGTTCCCATATGCGCACACTCTTAGATCTCGCGACACCCAAGCCATTCCCGAGTGGTGTGCTACATGACACTGTCCTGGGTCCTTTTTTATTCCTATTATCTGTAAATGTCATTTTCAACGTCTTTCCCTCCGGTGAACCTTTCCTATTTGCTGATGACAGAGATTATCTACATTTTTAAGCCTGCTGATGTCAGTGAGATACTCTTCGCAATTCAGGATGATTCACATTTGCTTGATTCGTGGTGTTCGGAGCGGAAGATGTCATACTGCGTGCTATTCTGCAGATGTGAAATCGGGCGTCTATTTGGATATTGCACCACATTATCACAGATGGATCGAGACATCACCGTAAAACTTGATCCATTACGGCTACACTGAATGAAAGTTGACCCAGTCGTCTTCTTCGGTACCCTTACCAAAAAGCACACATCCAACAGTACAGCTTAAAACGTACCTGTAAATTAACACACGATATGCAATAATGATACAATGATAATGAAAAGATCACGAACGAAGCAGTTGGAGTGTTGTTTTTTCCCTTAACTGATGGTCCACATTATGGAACATATTTCCGCGATACGTGAACTTCAGTCAGCGATTAATGTTCGTAAAGGTTTACATTCATTTACCAATGTAATAAGGGCTATGGATATTTTGAGACCAAATTCGATGAATGAATCACCTTGTGAAATAGAGGCCAGGTGGATTTGACTTACATGTCTGGTTATCATTTTTGCCTTCGACTCCATAGTCTTTCCTTTGGGAAACACCGCAAAACTGATTTAATGGTGGTTTTCTGGAACTTTTTAACAATATTAACACCAGCTGTGTTTTAGCGCATAACCCTACGTTTAAGATAAACCCAGAGCGCAGATTTGTCTTCACAATCTTTTTCATTTGATCTACACTGCTATTTCTTCTTCCCCGCCTGGTTTATTTATAATTTAAACGGTTATCCGTTTTCTTCGGTCCCTCTGTACAAATTGAATCTGCAAAATCATTCGACTGTGCAACTTATCTGTAGTTATTGTCACCATTTTACACTTTCCTACCTTTTTTATTATTTTTTGTTATTGGCCACGATTAGGCCGATCCCCTGAGGTTGCAGATTAAAGCGTCCAAGCTACTTAGTGCACCCACGCAAGGCGAAATGCCATAGACTCATTGGCGAGTAGTACAACTCCTGACTCGAAAGAGTTGTATGGTGGAGCGTATTGGATAGCTTCAGTGCTCATGCCACATGCATATGACAACGGCCCTAAATATGAGTTAATTCGATGATAGCTTACTTGATTTTAAGCCACACCGACATGTAGTCAGATTGGACATGGAAGTTCAGAGGAAACGTCACCTCGGTTCCACAGATGTTGTATTACCTCAGTTGAACGTCTGGCTGTATCTGCAATTATTGCCGAACTC